TATGGCAATAAAGATTTGTTATTGGGTGATTCACAAAGTCAGGGAATCATAAAAGCAGAACTTAACAGGGAGCAAATAGGTCATAAGTGTTGAAACAGAAGTGGGCATAATGTTCATTTTAACCCAGTACTGTCTTTCTGCATCCATCAGGCATTACCCAGCCAAGTAACAGTCAGCTAGTAGAAATCCTCACATCAGAAAAACCAACAGTGGCCTTAGCAATGGGGATGGACTCATATATGGAAGCAATTGCCAGTCAGACATTTAAACAAACAGCGGCAGTTACATTTTACTTGAGACAGTTGCTAGAGGAGAAGGTAGAAGTCACTGTAAAGGAAAGCAGTAAAGGGCAGCTGTAGGCATCGGACTGATAGTGATCCTGTTACTCCATTGTGCTTAATTCACTGTGTACTAATTCATTGGCGGCCTTGAAGAACAGAACTTTATACACTGAAAGGACAGCACAATGGTTTAATGATGAATTCCTGGATACCATCTTCCAGGCTGTCAGTAAATGATACCAGACTCTCTTCTTCCTACAGGCTGCAAATGGGTACTTGCACATTGACAAGTAAAGTCTGGTTGATATAGTTGTGGTTTGAATATTATGAGATTTTCAAGCCTTTATTTATTCGCTGGATGTGGCATTCCTTAAAAGGGTGGTGGTAGGCTGCTGTCTTCCTAAATCACCACAATCCATGTTGTGTGTGTCACTGCCGTGAGTGAATTCCAGGGTTTTGGCTCAGTAACAGTGAAGGAACAACAATACAGTTTCAAGTCAGGATGGTGTGTGGTGTGGAGATCAACTTGCAGAATGTGGTATTTTCATGTACCTGCTGCACTTGTCTTTCTAGGTGAGAGAGGCTTTGATTTTGGAAGTAGCATCGGTGAGTTGCTGATGTTCATCTTGCAGTTATTAGACTCTGCAGTCAGTCTAATGGTGGAGAGCATTGGCGATAGGGGATGGGTGCCAGTCAAGTGGGCTGTTTTATTCTGGAAGGTATAAAGCTTCTTGTGTGTTATTGGAGCTTCACTCACTCAGGCAAGTGGAGGGAATTCCATTACAATCCTGACTTGTGCTTTATGGACAGACTTTGAACAGTCCGGAGGTACATTACTCACCTCAGAACTGCCAGCCTGATTTTGTATCCACTATATTTATAGAGCTGGTCCAGCTCAGTTTTATGGTGGCATTCCACCATATCTGATGGTGACCCATGCAGTTGGAACTTTTCTTTCCTGAAATCATATTGCAGATGGGGTTTATTCCTTACAGAGTTGTTGCCGTATGTGGCTCTGACGATAAGTAATTTGAAGGTAATTGGAGCACTGCCTGTACACTCTTCCTCCAGAATAGTCTCTTCTTCTTCGACACATATGTCCATGCTCCACATGTTGACCTTGTGGTGCCTCTATTTAAAAAGTACAATATCCCATTGTGACCATGAGACAATAAGATAAAGCCATTTAGTCATTTAATGAGATCAGGGCTGATATTCTGATCCTCAACATCACTTTACTACCCTTCCCCCATAACCTTGATTCTCTTACTGATTAAAAATCTATTTCAGCCTTGACGATACTTAATGACACACCCTCTAAAGCCATCTATGGTAAAGAATAGAACAGATTGACTGTCCACTGAGGGGAAAAATTACTCATATTTGTTTTAAATGTGCAACTCCTTATTCTGAGATTATGTCCTCTGGTTCTAGACTTTCCCACAAAGCAAACAACCTTTCCACATCTACCTTCTCAAGTCCCTAAGAATCTTATATGTTTCAATAAGGTCACCTCTCATTCTTCTGAACTCCAATGAGTACAGGCCCAATGAACTCAACCCCTCCTCATTAAATAGTCCCTCCATAATTAGGATCAACCAATGGAACATTCTGTGGACCGTCACCAATGCCGATAACTCTTTCCTTAGATAAGGGGTCCAAAACTGTTCACAGTATTCCAGGAGTGGTCTGACTAGTGTCTTACATTGTTTTATACTTCATTCCCTTTGAAATTAAGCTGACAGTCCATTTGCCTCCCCTATTATCTGCTGGACTTGGATGCTAGCTTTTTTATGGCTTATAAAAATGGCCCCTAAATATCTCTGTGCTGCAGCTTTCTGTAGTCTTTCTTTATTTAAAAAAAATTGAGCTCTTCTATTCTCCTACAAAAGTGCATAACCTCATATTTTCCCACATTATAGTTCATCTGCAAAGCTTTTGTCCACTCACTTAACCTGTATCATCCTCACTACTTACCTTGCCACCTACTTTTGGTTTGTACGCAAATGTCATGATTGATGATGGAAGTCAATGCACTATGTCATTAACGTATATTGTAAACAATTGTTGTCCCATCACTGATCCCTGTGGCACTCCACTAGTTACAGGTTGCAATCCTGAAAATGACATCTTTATCTCAACTCTTTGTCTTCTATTAGTTAGCCTTTAGTTTTGCCTCAAAATATGGATGAATCCTCTTAATCCTCTGTTCATGCATAGAACTTTAATAAAAGGGAAGCAGAGAAACAAAAAGTAGATTGAAATGTAACATCTTTCCAGCAGATGCTGAGGAGAAAGCTGCTAATTTTGCCTCCCTAGTTAAACCACACACTCCTCTATTCAAATACAGGGAGATGTCAAATTATGAAAACTTGCATGTATAAATCAACAAGAACTTTAATTACCTAAAATTGTCCCAGAGGTACACTTAACATGCAGCAGTGCAAAAATATTTTCACATAAAAAAAGGAGAATTTGTTGGCATCACATGTGGAAATTTTTGCTTGAGCCCCTCCCCCCATACCATCCAACCTCCCCCACCTCCCTTCCTAGAGTACAGGTCCTGGTGTTTTGCATCTTGTGCACCCAACTTTGGCCATTGGAAGCAGATGGTAGTAACTAAGAGAGTAGCTGCAGTTTTATAATTCTTGCATTAATATAGGCAATGCACTGGCATAACTCTTTATTGCACGTGGAGATGCTGACCTATTCATTCAGGTAATGATTATAGGCACAGTCATGACTAGGCAAAGTAAGCTGATGTGGTATAATGGGTAATGGATTGAGGAATTGTCTATTTTGAAGTGGGGAAGAAGGTAGTCAGGCTATGGTGTCAAGGAAAAACAGATGGAGAAGACTAATATGCTTTCTAATGCCTCCTGCAACAGTAAAGTAAAACACCTCTGGGTACATATCATCTCTGCAGAACCAAACTACCCACATTCCTGTAATACCCCTTTGAAGAGTTATTCCAAGATTCAAAAGCCCTAATCCTTGGTGAGAAAAAAAAGTGGCATCATACAATAGTCAATCACCATCGGCATCCCTGAAACTCAGGGTACACCTAAACACCAGGTGAAGCTGAAGCATTAGAACATAGATGGATTCATGATAACAACAGTATTTTGCAAGCTGTCTTTCAGCATTTTCAGGCAGGATTTTTGTTTCTTCCTACATTTCTGTCATGGATCCACGCAATAAAATTCACTGATCACTCCCATTTTCCCTTAAAATTACAGAATATGGGTCCCCTAATATTTAGCAAATTACTCCCTACAGAGTAATGACTAAATGAACTGTACAGTCTAGGTCAATTCAAGAGCATGTGCATACTGGATTTCTTCCTCTGTTTTGTGATGTTACTGTTTCTTTTGTTCTATAGTCATGTGTTAATTCTGTTCTTCCTGTCTGAGTCTGTAGTATTTATTCTTACCTTTGCATTGTTAATTCACAGTTTCCAGTTTCAGCGCTCCAGCTGACATACACATTCTTTTGCTCATTTTCTTCAGAATTAAACAGGCTTTGTTAATGTTATTCTGAGACTTTGTAGGCATTATTAACTATTGTTGTCGTTTATTACTCTCTTATATTTAGCTTGACCATTATCTCATTTCATGTCATCTGAGATGTCAGCAGTGGTCATGTTGTCTCTTTTATTCTTAAATCTTCACTTCCCAGATGTCAGTTTTATAATGCAATAGGAGAAACCTTTTAAAAATGGGTACAGGATACCAAGAAGCATTTTTTTTCTTTTTCAAAAGATTGGCTGGTGCTTTGTTTAGGCACTGTGACTGATGGTGAACAGTTGGGCTCAGATTAGGAAAAGCCAATTGAGAAACTCTAGGTTTTAGATCTAGAATACAGTTCAATCCAGATCACACAAGGTTCACTGAAACAAATCCCATAGATGATAATTCTACTGAAAAAAAATCTCTGGTTAACTTTTCAACTAAGCAATTATTAACAATCTAGACAAATCAATAGGCTCACCCTTAAAATCTACAGTTAACACACACAACTGATTTGTTCATTACTTTCAGAATTTCATACTTCTCCAATCAGCCCAGGTCAAATCACATAAGTTGGTGGAAATGGCTATTACGAGGGGATATAATTCTAAGATGATTGGAGGAAGATATAGGGGAGATGTCAGAGGTAGGTTCTTTACACAGAGAGTGGTGGGCGTGTGGAACGCTCTGCCAGCAGCGGTAGCAGAGTCAGATACTTCAGAGACTTTTAAGCGACTCTTGGATAGGCACATGGAGGATAGTAAAATGCAGGGTACGCAGGTAGTCTGATCTTAGTAGGCATATAGGTCATCACTACATCATGGGCCGAAGGGCCTGTACTGTGCTGTATTGTTCTATGTTCTATGTTGAGAAAATACTTCCGCAAGTGACACAATGTGTAGAGAAAGCCAACTTGACCTGGTGTTCTGTTAGAGCAAAGTATACAGTATTATTGATTCACTCCTAACAATTTGTGAAAGTTAGATGTAAGAGTTTGAAACAATTTAATGAGAATCTGTTTTTAACATTATTATGTGAATTATGACAATTTCTCTTGAGCATACAAATGACAAGCTACACGAGATGAATTTTGGTAAATGTAATTATTCTGAATAAAAATCTCATAACAAGAAGTTATTGACAACAAAAGTGAGAATATTTGGTATCGTAAAGTCAAATTTAATTATAGTTTTAATCAAAGATTTCCTACCTGCTGCAATGGCCATCCTTTTGCTCACAGTAACACTTACTACCGTACTTGCTGTTACCATTTTACTTCTGTTCTTCTTTCCTGAAACGAGTAACCAAAACATGACCTTTAAATGGTACATAAAATTTCTTAAACATGCAGCAAAGAAACAGATCACTTAGGCCAACCAGTCTATTCTGTTTTTTATACAAGATTCCTCCTATTCCAATAAACTCTTCCCAACTTTTCAGCATGTCTTTCTGTTCCCTTGTATGTTTCATTCTGTCTCTTGTATGTTTCATTCTGAAAGTAGGTAAACTACTTGTCTCAAGCAGTTCTTGTGGAACAAATGTCACATTTTAATCATTCTGAGTAACTTATTTCTTCACTGGATTTATTAGAAACTATCCTGCACTTATAGTAAGTGACATCATCTGAAAACACAGCACTAGCTTTCACGTGTATATTGACATAATCAGCGACAACTTTATATTCTGTACAATCACTAACTCTCTTGAGTCTCCAATACTGCTAAATTATCAGCCTATTTATCCAACATCGCAATGTATGAGCAGGAGTGTCCTCCAAATGCATATTGGCAAGATGGAGGCTATTGGTTTTGGTTCCCACTCCAAACTATTCCCTAGTTACTGATTCTAACCCTCACCCCAATAACAGTCAGAGACTTAATCAATCAATGTCACATTTGACCCTAAGGTGAGCTCCTAACCTCCAATTTACACCATTGCTAAAACTACTTACTTTCACCACCATAACATTCCACTACTTTGTGTCTGCCTTAGCATATTGACTACTATTTGCGCTGGTCTCCCACATTCTATCTCCCATAAACTTGAGATCATTCAAAATTCTACCGCGCACATCCTTACATGCAACAAGTCTTGTTCACCTGATACATCTGTGCTTCTGATTTACATTTTGCTGTGATTTACATTTTGGTGGATCTTATTGGCTATGAGATCCTTGATTGGGCTTGTTAACCTGGGCCAATCAGGCAGCCCTGGCTGACAAGGGATTCAGAATCTCCTCACTTCAGTAACTGACTCTGAGCTGGCTGACCACAGCCAATGTACTGTGCAAATGCAAATAAAGGGTGACTTGGTGATGGGATACCAGCCTCTGTACAGTTATTTGTGGCAAGATTAAGATGACTGGCAAAGGCAAGTGATTTTGGGTTAACCCTGAATGAGAAGCTGAGAGACCGTTTGGTAGGTGGGATTAATGACGTAACCATGCAAAACCGCCTACTAGCTAACACCCACCTGGATTTCAAACAGGTACTACAATTGGCTCTGTCATTGGAAAATGTGGCAAGTGGAGCATGGGAGCTACAGGGCATCGCAACGGAAGTGAACACCCTTAGCTGTCTGATTGAGCTCAGGGAACACCACGTGAGTATAGGCAATCGTAGAGCCTCACGCAGGGCATATCCTGAGCAGAGGGACCCAAGTCCAGCCCACAGAAGAACCCCACAACAAAGCTGAGCCTCGGTCAAGTGGTTAAAATGTTCTTCAGGATCTAGGTCGGCAAGCCACTGTAATTGCTGCTGGCACATGGACTTGAGACAGCAAAAGGGTCCCACAAGGCCTGATTTGACTGAGAAAACTCATAGGCGGGTATCCAGGAGAGTGCACATCCTGGAAAGTCCACCTACATGTGGGTTGGAAAAATTAATTGCTTAGCAACATCTAAATCAGAACCAATTCAAATTAACACCTTGTTAAATGGTCACCAAGTTCTCATGGAGGCTGATACCGGTGGTCTGTATTTGTGGTCACAGAACCTGTTTTTAACTTTAACTCTGGACTCCAGCTGTTAAGTTTGTGCAAGACCTCGGCCAGGTTGAGAACGTACACTGGGGAACAGTTACAAAATAAGGGTATAACTTTAGTTCTGGTCTCCTATGAAAAATAGCTGGTGGTAATCGGGACCCGGGGTTGGGGGGTGGGGAGGGGAGCGGTGAAAAGAATGCCAATGCCGTCCACATGCTTCCTCTAAGCAAGAGAGACAATTTTTTTCAGGGGACAAAGTTTGGTGCTGGAACAATGGAAATGGCCCTGTATGGGTACGAGGCGAGGTCAACATGATATCAGGTCCCGTGACTTACAAAGTTCAGGTAGGTGTGGCAGTCCTGAACAAACATGTAAATCACATGAAAACTGCTACCTCGCAAACGGGGCAGGAGCAAATCTTACTTGGCCCCTCAGAACAGCCTGAAGGCTTGTCAGAAACCATGGGTTCTTCCCCTCTGTCTAGTGTCAAGGAAACCTCAGAGTCTGAGATGGATGCAGCCTCAATACTGTTACTGCTGGAAGAAGAGGAGGAAATGGAGGAAACTCACCTGAGACACTCCGGGCGCAAGAGATGGGCTACAGTTGAGTACATGCTGCCCATGGTGGAGGAACCTGACCTGGGGTGAAATCGTCGCAGCAAACCTATCTGAGAAAGACCAGGCCTACATTCGTGGACTTCGGAGGTGGGGGTGTGAGGGTGGTGATGCGGTGTGGATTTAGTTATTAGAAGGAGGTGGATCTTATTGACTATGAGATCCTTGATTTGGGTTGTTAACCTGGGCCAATCGGGGAGCCCTGGCTGACAGATATAAATAGGGTATTTAGAATTTCCTCACGTCAGTGACTGACTCCAAACTGGCTGGCCATAGCCAGTCTATGAATCAAATGCAAATAACGGGTGACTTAGTGACGGAATACCGGCCTCTATGCAGTTATTCCACATTTGGTTCCCAGTTAAGCAAAAATTCTGATCCTCATTTTTAAATCTCCTCATGACATTGCACTCCCTATCTTTGAAAATTCCTCCAGTCTCATAACCTCCAAGATATGGGTGCTCATCTAATTCTAGAATCTTGAACTTCCTGATTTTCATTGCTCCACTCTTGGATGTTGCACTTCCAGTTGTCTTAGCTCCTGAAACTCTTCTTTTCACCTTTCCACCTTGCGACCTTTTTCTTCCCCCTGCTTAAAATCTTCCTTTTTCTTTCAATAGCACAGATCTTCCAACTCCAGACAGTCAGAGCCCAGATGCACCTTCAAATGTGCAATGGGGCTCCTTGGCTGTCTCAAAACAAGGAAGGGTTCTATGGGAATTGACTGGGAAGTCTGAACTTCTGATGGGCAATTTGCTGCTCCCTAGGACACTCTGAAAAAGTGGTTGACTCAGAGTTAAATGGCCAGTAGGGCCAATATCCCACATGGCTCAGTGTTATAAACAGTTTCATAATTTTACTGTGAAGTTATTTGGGCTGTTTTATTACATTAAAGATGCTATATAAATATATGTTGTTGCAGCTTTAGATTCACCTATAAGCGGAAACATGCTTTCCACATCTATTTTGTTCAATCCAGTCATAAATTGACTCCTAAATCTTCACTTTTCTAAACAAATAATTCCCAATTTATAGGGTTCCTGATAGCTATAATCTCAGTTCTGGTACTTATCTTGTAAATCAACTTTGTATTGCTCCAGTGCTTCAAAATTCTTTCTCTGATTTGAAGGCCAGAACTGTTCACAGTACTCTGAGACCGGAAGTCATTCATGCACCATTGTTTCTAGCAGTAGTGTGTAGATTGTGTTGATTTCCCTTGAGGGCAGACAGAGTTTCTGGCCATTACATGGGCTACCCCCATGACTTTGGCAAAGATATCAAAGTAGGAACCAGCACAGTTTACAGAGGTGGAAGCCAGTGCCACTGTCTGTCACTGGGAAGTTGTTGAGGTCTGCATAAGCAAATTTTTCCCCCTCTTAAATTGGCCTGACTAGGGTACTTTACAAGTTTATTATAATTTTACTACATTTTAATCATATACCCCTTGAAATAAATTCCAATTCTTTGTTTATATTTTTAATTGCCTTACTGATCTGCAATGCTGGTTTTAATAATTTATTTACCTTGATATTCCTTGATATGTCTGTTGTTCTATCAATGTTCATTTACCACTTAATTTTCTAACTAGCTTGTTTTCTAATGTGTGCTGCATTCTCCTTCAACGCCAGCTTTACTAGTTTGGTCAAATCAGCAATTTCTTTCTAAATTGAATTACTTGTTCTCATGTCAAAATGGAAGATGTGGAATGTCCAGTTTCTACCTTTGTCCAAGCTGAGAAACAACCTTTTAACCCTAGTCTCTGCTTTTATTTATTCAATTGTCTTTTGATTCATACGTTGTAAGCTTTGTTAAGGCCTACTATTTGATTAAGAGTTTTTTGAAAATCCAATAAATAACTATAACATTACATTGTGTCAGTCAGACTTGGACAGTACTTTATTTCCAAAGATTCACATTTACAAAGTTCTGGTACAGGTCCAACTCCAGAACTTGAGCACAAAATGGTTTTCCCAACGATGGATGAAAACCAATAGGGAGTGCTAGCTTCCAGGCTAGAAATGGTTTTTAGATCAGATCTTAAATTAAGACCTTGTCTATCTTCCCAGATGGGCTTAAAGATTCCATGACATTATTTAAAGAAAATCAGGGGAGGTAGTCCTGGTGACCTGGCTAATAATTATTCCTCAATTAACATCATAAAGTTGGATTTGTTAGTCATTATCACAGTGACAATGTGGGATCTTACTGTGCACAATTTATCCATATTGTCTACACTACGACAGTTACAAGACCTCAAAGGTACGTTAGTGACTGTCAAGTGCTCTGGGATATCTGTGGTCATGTGTGGTCATATAAATGCCTTTTATATAAAGTTGTCTTTTTTAATGTCTATTTCTTGGATTGAACTTTTGGTGATTTGCCCTCATGTCTCCCTAAGTTAGTATTAAATTTTGTTGGATAACACTCCTGTGAATTACTTCGGAATGTTTTAGCAAAATAGGTCACACTTGCTGACACCAAGAAGCATGTGCATTAGCAGCGATATTTCTTTAGTTACAAATAAATACACATACCAATTAATCATACTGTTTTAATGAACTGGTATGATATAGTAACTAGATATTATGATAGTCAAAGAAAAACTTCTAAATGAAGTACAACTTTTCTTCTAATTTTCAACAGTTTTAAGATGAGAGGGCAAAGATTTTAAAAAGACATGAGGGGCAAATGTTTT